CGCCCAGAGCGGCCCGTGCAACCGTGTTCGCGGCGTCACACGATGGCCTGCGGATCGGACAGCCACGCGGCAGCTTGCGCGCGTGGCGCAGACGCAAGACGCAGCGTTTTCGGCCACCGAGGGGCGCCGCAGCGTGTCGAGGCAGCCCGGCGTTGGCCCTGAGGGCCGAAACTCCATCAAGATGCCGAAGCGACGACAAACTTTGAAGAAAACCTCGCCACTTTGAGCCCTAGGCTCACGCCGACACCCCTGGGTTAACTTCCCGGGGCCCGGGCACGTCCCGGGGCACTCCGCCAGGAAAGGCGGCGGTACCGGGGCCGCACCGCAGCTCGTCGACCGTGTATTTTTTTAAATTTTATTTATTTTCGGCTCGCGCGCGCTTCCGCGAGGTCGTCTTACACGGTACCAAGGACGTCGAAAGCGAATTCAGAGTCTCCGAATTGTATTTAGGGGTACGCGGGGCGACCTAATTCGTCGCGGAACGCGACGTCGGTAATTTTGGCCTGACTGGGCCTGCGACAACCGTGGGGAAAAAGCCAATCGGCGGAGACGCGCGGCTTCTTCTCGAAGACGACCCAGTGCTTCTCGTACTCGCGCTTGCGCAGCTTCAGTTTCGTGATCTCGTAGTTGCCATCTGACGACTTCCACTTGAACGTGTAGTTTTTCTTAAGCTAAGTTATAGTCAGTGAGGGTCACATGTGCTGGTGGTAGTGTGTTGGAAAGGTACCCATCAAAGCCGAAAGGTTTTGCCGGGGTTGCTGCGGTTTTGCCAAGGGTTTTGGCCCGGGCGAGAGGGTGTTCAATTAAGGTTTGGACGAAATCTAAGGGTTTTCATAACCGCAAAACCTATCTGTGTCCTTCGCTGCGAATGCGGCGAGGCCGCTAGATCTGGTCCATGTACCCGTAGTAAATTTTATTCAGAACGCACGCTGCGCCTTCCCTGTACATACTTTGCAAGTCGCAGAGTGGAAAGCTGGGCGTCTAGACGTAAGTTATTTCGGGCACCGGCAAGTGCACCGGCGCCAAAATTTGCCTGAGTGCGAGTCCGAGTCAGGTGGAACATCACGGGTTGGGGGAACCTCTCTGCGAGCATGGCCGGATTGGCAAGGACAATATAAGCCGGCCTACCCTTACCCCCGCCTATTCGCGAGGGTACTCGAATCATGTGGCACATAGCCGGCGACTTCGAGGGCCGTGGTGCCGGCTACGCCGGTGCCAGCGGCGACAGCCCACCAGAGCCGTTCACTTTGGGGAAGCGGAGCTGCCGCTACACGTTCAGCTGGTGAGTGTTCGTTGAGACCCCGCTGAAGTTCGCGACGATGTCGCTGAGGAGCTCATTCGATGCTGCGCCGGCGGATTCCACCACGAGGTCGAGCAGCGGCCTGCCAGAGTAGTACACTAGCGCCCTGCATGAAGTCCTTGCGCGTCATGGGGTCAAGGGCGGCGAGCTTCGTGTCGTACTTCAGGTCGAAGAAGGTCCCATCCTGGTACAAACTGCGACAAGAAGTGATATCATGGTGGATGGAGGAGCAATGATCTTCGCTTCCAGTGCCGCTTCAGTGTCCGAAGTGCAACCTCTGAAGCGCCGGAAAATGTCAGATTGCAGGTCATTACCCACGGTCGTGAGTGACTAGTCTCATTGGCAACACCTCTCACCCCCGAGTGTGTAAGACCGAAGTCCGTAGCTGGACTCGGCTCCGAGTTGCTTTTCGTTGAGTCCGAGAGGAGGCGGGACTGTGAGACAGACTGCACTGCACGCTTGTTCAAATGAGACTTTCAGGTAAACTTTTGGCGTGTGTATGATTTCACTGTTGTGATGCCGGGTCAATGTTTGAAACATGCATTGCGAGATTGTTTGCGCCATTTTGAAGGCATAGCTTTGCGAGAACTTCAGGCGCGAGATGCTGAAGGATGGGCTTGGGTCTGGGAAGCGTGACGAGGACATCCGTCCCCGCGAGGCGATTGAGCAACGCACTGTCAGGATTTATTCCGAGGAGTACGTCCTGCTCGTCTGCATCTTTAAGGACTGCCACCTGATGGCGACGAGTCGGGCTGCCAATTACGATCGTCGAAGACTCGCGGAAAAAACATAATGACTACCGAAATCGGCGATGCATGCAGCAAGGGGTGCGAGAAGGACCTGTACAACATTAGTACGTATCTGTGTGTTACGTTTTAGGACGCTATGCTCCAGACGAGGCCCACATGCTTGACGGGCGTCGCAGCAGCCTGCGCGGGTAGTTAATAGCTGACCACTGTCCATGTCCACCGCAGGAACAACGAAAGAAATCGCTCTTCTCTCTGATGAGTTTTGCGCCGGGTTCCGCTTCGCTAAAACATTCAAGTGCAACTTCGATAAGAGCGCGCCTCATGTCCTTTGCAATGAGAACAGTGAAGCGATCGTCGACAGTAAGACTGTTCGCGACAATGTGGAGGAGCTGCGCTTGAGTCTCCCACCACTTGTCGGAACGCGCGATAGTGCCGAGTGATGGAATAAATGGACCTAGGAAAGGTGGGGACAGGCGTCTTGACGATGATTGGTGGGCTATGTTTGATGTGCGAAGAGGCGTCGGCGTTCGTCAAGTTGACATCTGGGTCTGGGAATTCGCCAGGCATGGCTATCCCAAGGAACAAACATGGGCCAGAGAGGCAGACGCGGGAGGCTGGCCAAGGACGCGTGGCGAGTGAGCTGCGGCCGCGGCGAGTGCCTAAGGAGGAGTCCTTCTCGGGCTCCCGTGGCGTCATCTAATCATCCGTATGTTCCCCGTAAGCACAAGCACAGAGGCACTCTCAAACGCTGCCAA